GGTATATACTATGGAGCAAAGAAAGCGATATCTCTCAATCAAAAACTTATTCAGAAATAACTCGGTTAGTCTCTAAAATGCCACAAGTACTCCTGTTCTTTTTGCGGATACAGACTAACACAGCTGCTACTTTGAAACCTGTCTTTAGATAAAGTGTGCCTTCTGAAAACAGAGACCAGTTCAGCACCAAAACATCCTGCTAAATTCAGCAGTTCTGAAGAAAGAATCAGTGGTCTTATGAAAAAGGAGGCCAGGGATGTTTTAGTCATGCAGTGACTAAAAGTGTCTTATCTTTAATTAAACAAGTCCCAACCTTCATCATTTACTTAAAAGAGCATGTTTTATACCCTTTAAACCTGAACTAGACAAGATATAGAAATTTAATTTAATCTGTCAATATACCATTTTACGGCATTAGATTTACATTTTATCAGTTTAATTTATTAAATTGTTTAATTCCCTGAATGATTAATGAAATATGAAAAATCCATATTCATACAACACAAAGCTAAAAAAACCAATAAACAAAGCTTGGCACTAAATATATATTCAAACACTAAAAAGAAAACATTAGTAAAAGTTCTGAGGTTAGTGTCCTGTTTAAAATTAAATGATAAAATTGACAATTTAGGTTACTAACTAACTAAATGTACTATAATCTACTAAAATCAATTAAATTTGCTACATCAGAGAGTCATCAAGCTTTAATGGATTTACAGGGTGTATGTACTTTCTCTTATACAGTAAAGATTTTGCTTCAATTTCTTCTGGCTTCAGTTTAGCTAGCAGATGCAAAGAAAATACTCTGTATTTGGACTAGTTCATTCACAGCTGAGAAACTGAGTTGAAAGAACAGCAACACTTGTTTTTCTCTTCCAATCTATGAACAAAGGCAAGTGGAAGTGGATGAGATCTACTAATTCTAAAAACGAAGTACAGAGGGGCCAGATTTTCCCTAGGTATTTAGGCACCTAAAGATGCATATAATACTAACTACCTGTTACCTTTTTCATCCATAGATCCCAAAGTGCTTTACAAAGGCGATCAGTATCATGGGGAAACTGATAAGAACTTCTAAAAATCACATTAAGCACCTAAGCATATCAGGAGCCTAAATAACTCCCACTGATTTGAATGGTAGTTCAGCAACCTCTTGCTCAGGTGCTTCTGAAAAATCCCACTATCCACCTATCTGCATCTTGAGGCACCCTAAATACCTTTGAAAATCTGGCCCCTGATGATCAGAAACTATCAACTCACTAACTACAGTTAATATTTCCTTTGTTTAAATGAGTTTTAAACATATGTTAACATTTTTCTTTATGTATCCAGCACATTTAAGGTAACTTTATTTAACAAAAGACATTTTAAAATATTGATTTTGTAAGTTAATTCCAATCTCACGTAGCCTGACAAATTCTAAGTAAAAAAAAAAAAATCTAAAATACGTAATTCACCATTTTCTAATAGAATAAACATACAAACTAGACTCTGAATAAACTTATGATTAGCTATAGAATTGCTTAAACACGTGTGTGTGGGTATCTTGTATGCTCCTAGTTAGCAAAAAGTACCAAATTTAGTGTTGTAAAGGCTACATTTGGTTGCAAATATGTTTTTATGGCTATACTAACCAAAAAATAAACCTTTTCTTAGGAAAATAATGAAGTACAAATGCAAAACACAAATTTAAAATCAATTATTTAAATGTTTGCTGCTTGCTGATTTAAATCATGACGAAAATCATGCACTCTGGATGGAAAGCAAATTAACTAACGTCAATTAATGTAGGCAATATAATAACCAATGAAAATGATGGCAAAGGTTTTCAAAGACTGTTTCTATAGCCATTCAGCTCTGCACTATTCTGTACAGCAACTGCTGAACTATTATTTTAAGTTATTTCAATAACCTTAAGTCTTACTAGCCACATGAACTTTGTTATCGTGAGGGCTGGCAATTTCCCTTGGAAAAACTAGTTTAGGATAGGGTGCTGGTAAATACTAGCTTAAACCTGGTTCAAAGAGAGAAACTGGGAAAAACTTACATTATTTTTTACAATTGAGCTTGCAATTACAGTAAATCTGTAGGCCCAATTATTACAACAGTACCTCAGTGCAAGAAAGATATGTAAATTAAAAGAGATTCAGAGAAGAGCAACAAAATTAGGGTATTGGAAGAATTTAATTATGAGAAGATTAATTATTTTTATGCATAATTTGGCTAAGCAGGGACACAAATATCTATAAATATTTGAAGGGTGTGAACACAAATAATGAATTTAGTATGACTGAACAGCATATAAACAAACAGGATGAAACTAAAACAAGTTCCCAACAGTAACACTTGTTAAACTGGAGAACAGTTTTCAATGGAAGTTATAAATCCTATCACTTCAAACATTTAAAAGCAGAATGGACAAAGCAACAAAAAAATCATGTATAGAGCAATTCTTGCCCTAAAAGGTCTATACTTCTCATATCTATAGTTATTTAATAGAATAATTACTTGAAATACTTCATGGCAGAAAAAACATTTATATATTTCTTCACTTCATACACTCTCACTGAACTCTGGATAGGCTTAACTAATGGTCTTATGTTACTTCTGAACTCCTGGAGGCGTCAGAAGCCAGGCCTACTCAAACTAAACATTGAGTTGTGAAAAAGGAGGCGGGCTTGGGGATGAGAAACAAAGAAAACCTCAGAACAGGAGTGGGAAAAAAAATAAGGGAAATGCACAGAACCCTATAGTTTTGGCATCACTAAAAATATTGTTTAAAAACCTTTGGCACTGGCACTCTGTCTCAATTTTTGTATTGTATTTGTGGCACACGACTGCCAATGCCTAAGAAACAAAAATTGTAGGATATAAAAGGAAATTTTCAGCCAACAATGGGCCAATAGTAGACCCAATTGTTTCCCTTCAGGCCATTAATTTTAAATTTAGTTACAGCCCCTAAGGTAACTTTTTTCCAGACTAGTTTAAGGAACACAAAATACACCTCTACCCCGATATAACACGAATTCGGTTATAACACAGTAAAGCAGCGCTCTCGGGGGGCGGGGCTGCGCACTCCGGTGGATCAAAGCAACTTCGATATAACGCGGTTTCACCTATAATGCGGTAAGATTTTTTGGCTCCCGAGGACAGCGTTATATCGGGGTAGAGGTGTACAACACAAAATCAAGGCACTTAAGTGCCCCATCTAGTCTTGATGTGATCGGTGTAATCTATATGAGGGCTGAAGATCAATCAAGGTGATCTATTCTTGAATTATAAACTTGGTGAGTGAAAGTTATCAGAAGGTATGGAAACATTCACAAGTGAGTCACCTGAATGTCTACACTGACAGGGTTATAATGAACAACCCACAGGCATCCCTTTGAAAGAAAACTTATGATAGAAATTCAGTTGTTTACCTGGATAACCAATTCCTTTGGCATTTGCATAGGGAACCCCAGAAGATCCAGGGCTATAAACAGGATTCATGATTTCAATAACTGAAAAGTAAACAAGAACATAATCAGATCTACTTAGCCAACCATATGGAGTCCCTAGAATCCTTGACGTTTAAATGCAATTGGTGGGAAGGAAAGTGCACAATTCTACCACCCATCCCAGCCATCCACATTTTAAACTGCAGCTAGAGAAACACACTTGTGCTGCTCCTGTATAAAAGTTTGTTTCCCTGAGTCCACTAAAGGAGTGGTTACTAATGGGCAAAGTATTTCCCCACTGGTCGAGTGTATTATTTTCAAATTGTACCCATATCCCCTGCTCTCCAAGTGAATATAAAACCACCGAACTGTCTCAAACTAGCATTCACTACCATCAAAACACTGCTTCAGCTTTCCACTCACCTTGCCTTCTCCATTTATGTGCACCTCCATCTCAATCTTGACTTTCTTCCTCCTTTCTCTCTCTTCCTTTACTGTAAGATTATGTCTGTGATACTCTAACAGTTATACTCTGCTACTGCTTCTCTTGGCAGTGTGGAGTAAGGGCTATAAAATAAATGAATCTCTCTGGCATGGGATTCTAATCTCTCAAATTTAAATTCCTGAAGCATCAATAGCCTAAGAAATAAATAAAATAGCTGGGGAAAAAAAGGTTCTACACTAAATGGCTCAGAATTAGTATGAAAACAGCACCACAATTCATATGTTCAAGTTTAGTCTACATCAATACTATAAGTGCCCAAACCTCAAAAGTTGCCATAATTAGCAGAAAAGCAAAAAGCTTAGCAGGTAGAGAAGCTAAACCATGCTCCCACTTCTAGAGCGAATATTGTACGTCAAGGTTGAGGTATTAGCAAGACTGCAAAAAAGCTTCACTAATTTTTCTATTCATAAGGGATTCCAATCTCAAACGGTCAGTTTGGCACATTCTAAAGATAAAATTCTCTTTATTAGAGATTTTTAGAAACAAGATTATGTGTTAAGTTAATTGTACTGCTTTCAATTTTTAAAAAATTGAGTTTCTTCAAGTATGACACATTAAAACAGAGGACTGGGATAAATATGTTTGCAGGTATGTCTCCTCTTTTCTGTCTATTAGTGCCAATCCTGCACTTAAAATAATATCTGGTAGCAAAACATGCATGCTACCAGAACTAGCCATTCCATTATCCTTGAGTCCCTCCCTCTCTCTATTGCTTGACCTGTAAATGTTATATGAAGGGACACTCTACTAGTTTAGGCCCAAAACTGTCACACAACTTTTGAGTATAGAAAATTTATGAACCTAAATAAAGGGCTTCAGTAACTAAAACATTACCTACATGTAGCGGGGTGATTACCCACTTCTACCCTGAGGGGTTTAAAGACAGCCCTGAGGGAGGGCTGTTGGAAGGGAAAAAGCTGCTAGGCTGATTGGGGAAGTAGCTGCAGCTGGGCCATGCCCCAATCAGGCCTCAGCTGGCCCTATATAAGAGGCTGGGAGCCAGGCGCTCAGCAGTCTTTCTTGGTTTATAGAGGGAGATGGGTCTGGCTGCAGGGAGCTAGAGGCAGGGTACCTGAGCAGGGCTGGGGAGCTCCAGCCTGGAAAGCCCCAGGCTGCAGCTTAGCAAGAGGCAAATAGGTACTGGGGGTTGCAGAGGGCAGCCCAGGGGTAGGCAAAGGCAGCAGGTCCAAACCCAACCTTGCCGATGCTGAATAGCTTATACTGCAGTTGCCCCAGGGAGCGGGGGCTAGTTGGTGACTGGCAGTGACCTTATTCTGAGGTGAGGTGGGGATAGTGGGTGGGGGTTCCCTGGGGAGGGGAGACCCAAAGAGAAAGGGGCACTGGGGTCCTGGGAGGGACACTGGGCCAGTGGCAAAGCAGATCACTAGTCTGCAGGGTGTGCTCTGGAGCTGAGATGAGCTAATTCCCATAGATGACCAGCAGGAGGTGGTGCAGGGGTGAGTCCAACTCCTTACACTGCAGCATTGGAGACTTACTGTTATACTACTGTAAGGGAGTTAAAGTTAAACTGGCCAGTGTAACTTCACTAGCTAACATGAATGAGTGGAAGCAATCAAACAGTAGAAAGAGCAAAAAAACAAGTCAGCCAGATTTTTAAGATGAGTAAAGAGTATAGTTCTTTATCAAAATATTGTTTCTAGAACAGTGGTCTCCAAAGTGGGGTGTGCAAGAGGATCCTTGGGGGTGGATGGCAGGAGGAGGTGCGTGTTTTGTTTTTTGGTGCTTTGGCAGTTTGGGCAGGAGTCAGAATGGCTTTTTTTTTTGCTTCAGCAAAAATGGTAAAGCTGGCGCGGCAGGGGGTGCGTGCTCAAATTTTTTTTACTGATAGGGGTGCGCAATCAAAAAAGTTTGGAGACCATTGTTCTAGAACACAGAACCATAAGCAAAGAAGCCCCTTGAACTTGTGCAAACAGAAATTTACTATGCTTTCTGCAAAACCATCTGCTGTACCATTTTTAATAGAAAATCCAAAATACCACAGAAAATGGTATTCTACAAACTCAACTATTTTATCTAATAGCAATACAACCATTACTTAAAAAAAAAACAGGCAAACCTCCAGCACAGAAAAATCAAATCACTTAGGATACTGGAAAAAGTCCATTTAAAAGTTAAATGACATTAACCCACAATTTACATTGCCTAATATTAAGGAACATTACCTGCAGCCGCATTTACTACCTGCCAAACTGTAAAGGAACAATTTGACCTAATTCCCATTAGCAACAACATTCTACAACACTTCCTGACTCATCCACTCCTCCATGTACAAAGCTGTGGGATATTTTCCTTACAATCACAGTAAGGTTTAAGGATTAATATTTCACTAGCCTGTGCCATTTTACTTTCTTTCTCACTCTTTTCTGAATCAATTAACTTTCATCCACTTACACATCAGCACATCTTTCATGTTGTATGTTACCTTCCTATTTCCATCTTTGTCCACCTTTTAATGTTTTAAAGCATTCTGCCTTTTTAAACCTTAAAAAAAAACCCATGAGATCCCAGCTTTCCTTTAGTCCTGGTATTTCCAAATCCTGGAATGAATGCCCTGGGAGATGGCCACGCCTCTGTGTTCACACCTGCAGGGCTATCACAAATCTCTCCCTCTCTCTGGTGCCCTCGGCCCTGTGACCTCCTCTTTCAAAGTGCAGCTCTCCACAATCTCTATAGTAACTGGGAGGCAACAGTTCTAAGTAACATGGGAGACTTCTGGGGAAGGGAAGAAGCAGTAAGAGTATTCAATGGAAGGGTGAGGGAATAGCAAAAAAACAAAACCTGCATTGTCATAAATAAGCAATAGAGCTGAAGAACATGCAACCTGGGAAAAGATGAAAAAACAAACCCAGAAAAGAGAATTCTAGAGAAACTGGACAAAAACAGGCGAGACAGCAGCTCCAGCAGGGCATCACATCAACTGAAATGCAGAGTAAGGAGCCAGCACAAAGGGGACTCCAGACAAGTAAGGTAAGGAACCACAGCGTTAAACTGCATCACACAGCCTCCTTGTGGGAAGTACAGAGCTGTTATTAATACTATGTCAATTCTTCCATTTCAGAGGCATCCATACTTGGAAAGTTTGTACACATGTATATGAACCAATGTAGACCCATTTGTGCTAACAACAAAGGAAGCTGCAGTTGGACACAGCAGGTGTGTGTACAATTGTGGTGTTTAACCAGCAGCTTCCACCACTGGATGGAGCTATACCAGTATAGAAAAATGCTTACAAATTTTCCAAGCATGGACTGAGCCTTAGACACCATTCAACTCAGTGAAAAACAATCCTTTCCACATCTTCAGTGAAGGACCCAACTTGTTTGTGTGCTAGAAATCACGCAGTCTCCTCCTGGGTGTTGCAAACCCCCAGCCTTTTCTATATTGCTAGTCATTTTCAGTCTATATTCAGTCATTTTATGTGTAGCTTATTCTGAAGTATGCTTGGAAATGTTTAATAGGGAAAAATGTTCCCCCCCCCCTTTTTTTTCTTTTTGGCTCAAGTTTGCCAAATCTCACCTTTGGGCAGAGTCCAACATTCAGAAAACTTCATTCCTCTTCTTCTCCCCTCTTTCCCCCCATTTTTTTTTTTTTCAAACAATCCCTCTCCCTCCATTTTTTTTTAAGTGACTTCCCAAAATTGCACAGGAAATCTGTGACACAGGTGAGAATAGCACCCACATCTGACTTCTAGTCTCATGCCTTAGCCACAAGTCAGGCAGGAAGAGAAGTGAGCTCTGAACTCAGGATTTTGCAAATCCGTAAATGAATTCCTTTTCAAATATGTTAAATCAGTCTTCTCATTTGTAATTTTCTTAATAGTAGTTCTAAATTTTTTTTAAGGTTGAACACAAACTAACATTATCTAAAGTCTCTATTTACACTCGTATCTGAGAACACAAAACATTATGATTATACATTACAGGAAATTTTAAAATTACAGGAAGCAATTTAAATATGCAGATTTATCCCATCAGTTAAGGCAAGTTGTGGTACAAACTGACAGGCAATGCCAAGAACCTGAGGTAACAAGCATCATTTGTAATTTATTTACATTATGTATTTATACCTCTGGAAAGGTATAATGCTAAAGAGCTGGAGGATATTTTTCCTCTTTGAGAAGAATGGCAATGAATTTCTATATATAAGAAAAATGTTAACCTACTCACTTAGTACTTCTTCATGTAGAATTTCCATTAGTTACATTTGAAGCAAAGTCTTCTCAGACTAGCCCAGTGGTACACTGATCACACACAGAATCAGAGTTTAAGAGGACTTTTTTTTGTGTGCCTCATGAGATAATTGAGGAGATGTTATATAATTTGTGAGAAAGTACAGGTAACTGAGCCTCCAGCTCCTTGATAATCAGAGTCCTACAAAAAAATAAACTACCCTCTCTGCTGATTTTGGGCACTTAACAGATTTTCAGGTGGAAGGGAAAAAATGAATACTTAAAGAACAAAACCACTTCAATATATATGTATACTTAAGACAACATTTCTTCTTTTTGGTAAGTTATTAGCCTACATGGGTGCTTTCCTAACATTAGTTTTTCACTTTATTCTGCACACCTTTTAGAAATGAGAGGCAACTGTCATGAGTTCCCCACAAAGATGGAACCTAAAAAAGCATTTCTAATTCTTCCTACCTTTCAACCTGGAAGTTGAAATACATAATTAATGCCACAAAATGCAAAGGTTGGGAAGCTGTGTTTTATGACACTTCCAATTAGAAGTCTCACTATGAAACTGTATTAATTCAGACAAAATCTAGTCAAATTAGATAACATATGCTAGTAGTAAGCATCTTACATTGATTGTAAAATACATATTAAAGTGCAGTTCTACTATTGATCTCTGAAGCAACAGCACATTACTAGAGGGAAACAATTTCTCAGATGGAATAATAAAAACATTTCAGCAGAAAGTTGTGATGTGTTTCAAACACTGCAGGGGAATGTCTAATTAAAGCACAATTCATATTAGATTTTTTAAATCATAGAATCTTTTCTAGGGTTGTAGATTTCATCAAAACTTTTTTTTTAAATAATTCAAACAAAATTAGTAAAGCCTATTGAACATGGTACTGTTTTGATAAGCTGCACACTCAGCTACTGCAAGCAGATTCTTCAGCATGCACTGGAAATATTTACTGTGACTATAATTTACATAATTTTGCTGACTCTGACCACCTGGTAGCATGCAAATGTCATTTTCATAAACGTCTTGGCAAGACTGTCATTTAGCCTACATCAGTACAGGATTAACAATATGTTGCAGGACAGCTTAAAACGTACCCTCTTCTCTGACTTTATTCTAGGGCAGTAACTTTCTCTGGGGGCAGGGAGAAAAATGAGGAGCAAAATTAAAAGTAGACTTGGTCAAAGAAAGGAACATGGCTGACAACCACTGGATGCCTTGCCCATCACTTGGCCGCTAACGTCCTCAAGGCCAAGCCATTTTTGACACCTGTTACAGAAAGTGCCCAGGAGCCTCCCCTGCCTGTGGATCGTGCTTGATGGCTGCTGGAAGCGGCCTGCCTCTTTGCTAGCGCCCGAAGGGTTTTCAACCGCAGGGGAGGTGACTGGGGCCGGCAGTCGCCAGGGGTCCAATCGGCGCTGGATGCTCGGGGCGGCGGCCGCTCCGAGGGGCAGTGCCAGCTACGTTCCGGGCTGCGGTATCGCCGCCGGGCTCACGGAGCCGGGGAAGCGCCAGAGCCGTGCGGGGACGGCGCCGCGGGGCGCAGCCACTCCGGCTCGGGGCCTCCCCGCCTGAAGGGCAGAGCGCCCGGCCTCCCAGAGCTCGGCGGCGGGCGCTGGAGGAGGCCCCCCGCGCAGCCGGGCCGGAGTCCCGCCGCTGTCACCCCCGCCAGTAGGACAGGGGGGAGCGCAGGGGCCGGCCGCAGCGCGGGGGGGGGGGGGCGCACCCGGGAGCACGGAGGTAAATAAACCCCGGGCCGGAGACGATCCCCCCCCTTCCTGGACATCGGATCCGCCGGGGCCCCCCAGGCTGTGCGCTTCCCGCACCCGCAGCCCAGCGGCAGGCCGCGGGGAGGCAGCGGCTCCGGCCCCATTCTACACCGGGGGCGGGAGGAGTCCGGAAGCCGGCGCCATCCGCAGTCCCGCACTCACCGGGCTGCGGCGCTTCGTGGTGGCGGCCCCGGCTCTGGCTCTGTCGCTCGGTGTCTGCTGCGGCCGGGGGAGGGGGCGGAGCCTCGCAGTCGGAGGGGGCGGGAGCTGGAGCGGCGGCTGGGGCCTGCGCCTCCTGCTGCTGTGTGTCCCGGCGGCGCTTTCCCGTCCCTCTCCGGAGAGCTGCGCAGCAACTGAGCAGCCGCACGTCACTTCCGCACGGGGGGAGGGGGCCTCTCAGCCCTGAAGTTACAAGGGAAGGAAAAGGAGGGTCACGTGCAAGGAAGCTTCTGAGGCGGCCCTGGCACGTGACCAGGGAGACACCACCCCCCCCCCCCCCACGTAAAAATCACAGACTTTGGGGCTGGAGTGATTATCACCTTTGAACTGCAAAAAAAGCCAGCCACCCCCCACCCCAGACAAGCCTAGGGCACCCCCAACCACAAGGCAACTCCACAATCCGCCCTTCCCCCCCCCCCCCCGACAGCCACTTGTAGTAGCTAGAGCAATAACACAGATGTCAGATCAATAACATGGTTTTCTGATCTTGGCCATCTTTCTCGAGATTATTTTTCCCAAAACTACATTGATTGGATATATTCACTACATGCCTGAATGTGAACACTTTGGCACTTCATACATAAAGACAATCCATTGGGTCTGTTTCTTGAATTTGTATATGCTGTTTCCAGCCATTTCTTATTTTTAGCAGCAACATCGTAGCATCTTTAGCTGGACGCCGAAATGTTTAACATTTCATTTCCAGTGTATAGTGATAATAATGAAAAGTTTTTAGACCTACATTAAAAAAAGTGGCAGATTAAATTAATTTTCTGGCAACTGGCAAATCCATAAAAAGAACATAAAAACGGCCATACTGGGTCAGACCAAAGGTCCATCTAGGCCAGTATCCTCTCTTCTGACAGTGGCCAATGCCCCGTGCACCAGAGGGTATGAACAGTGGTTTGAGCATTGGCCTACTAAACCTAGGGTTGTGAGTTCAATCCTTGAGGGGGCCACTTAGGGATCTGGGGTAAAAATCAGTACTTGGTCCTGCTAGTGAAGGCAGGGGGCTGGACTTGATGACCTTTCAAGGTCCCTTCCAGTTCTAGGTGATAGGATATCTCCATTAGAAAATCATCAAGTGATCTATCCCCTGTCACCCATTCCCAGCTTCTGGCAAATAGAGGCTAGGGATGCCATCCCTGCCTATCCTTGCTAATAGCCATTGATTGATCTATCCTCCATGAATTTATCTAGTTCTTTTTTGAACCCTGTTATAGTCTTGGCCTTCACAATATCCTCTAGCAACGAGTTCCACAGGTTGATTGTGCGTTGTGTGAAAAAATACTCCCTTTTGTTTATTTTAAACCTGTTGCCTATTAATTTCATTTGGTGGCCCTAGTTCTTGTGTTATGAGAAGGAGTAAATAACACTTCCTTATTTACTTTCTCCACACCAGTCATGATTTTATAAACCTCTTTCATATCTCCCCTTAGTCATCTTTTTTCCAAGCTGAAAAGTCCCAGTCTTATTAATCTCTCGTCATATGGCAGCTGTTCCATACCCCTAATCATTCTTGTTGCCCTTTTCTGAACATTTTTCAATTCCAATATATCTTTTTTGAGATGGGGCTACTACATCTGCATGCACTATTCAAGATGTGGGTGTACCATGGATTTCTATAGAGGCAATATGATATTTTCTGTCTTATTATCTATCCCTTTCTTAATGATGCCCAACATTCTGTTCGCTTTTTTGACTGCCTCTGCACATTGAGTGGATGTGAATAGTACCAGATCCATGTCTGATCCTGCAGGACACCACTACATATGCCCTCCCAATTAACAGCAAACCATTGATAATTATTCCTTGAGTACGGTCTTTCAACCAGTTGACCACCCATTTTATAGTAATTTAATCTAGACCACATTTCCCTAGTTTGCTTATGAGAATGTCATTCGGAACTGTATCAAAAGCCTTACTATCTATGTATATCATGTCTACTGCTTCCCCCACCTACTGAGCCAGTGATCCGATAAAAAAAGAACACTGAGTTAGTTTGGCATGATTTCTTCTTGATAAATCCATGCTGACTATTCCCTTATAACCCTATTATCCTCCGGGTGCTTATAAACTGATTGTTTAATAATTTGCTCCAATATCTTTCCAAGTATTGAAGTTAGGCTGACTGGTCTATAATTTCCAAGGTCCTCCTTGTTCCCCTTTTTAAAGGCAGGTACTGTTTGCCCTTCTCCAATCTTCTGGGACCTCTCCTGTCCTATATACTTTCTCAAAGATAATTGCTAAGGGCTCCAAGATTGCTTCAGCTAGTTTCTAAAGTACCCTAGGATGAATTTCATCAAGC